AATTTCCTAAAGACCTTCCCCTGTGCCCCACAGGTGTTTCCTTCCCTTGTACCTCTCCTGAAAGGATCAGTGTTCTCAGAGCAAAGCAGCAAAAAACACACCAAAGTTGCTGCAAAGGCCTTAACATTGGTCCCACAGCAGCCTGGCACCAAATATTCATCATTGAAAGGTTAAAAGTGGGCCAAGGGAAAGACTTGCCCCAGGTGGGTGAGAATTGATATCTGAGGGGGGTTTTAACACCCCTTTGGGAGATTTCAGCCCAAAATCTCCTCTTGATTCCTGGAGAGGGACCAGAGAGCTTTAGAGTCTGAGCAACAGAGAATGACAGCAACAGTTGTGTCACATCAATAAACCAAACACAGGATCATGGAATCATGGAATGGTTTAGGCTGGAAGAGACATTAAAGATCACCTTGTTCCATTCCCCTGCCATGGGCAGGGACATGTTCCACTATCCCGAGCTGCTCCAAACTCCATCCAACCTGGCCTTGGACAGGAATGGGGCAGCCACAGGTTCTCTGGACCCTGTGCCAGGGCCTCTCCACCCTCACAGGGAAGAATTTCTTCTTCATATCCAAACTAAATCTACCCTTGATCAGTTGAAGCCATTAAACACAGCCAGGACTGAGCTTTGACAGAGACACTGAGCTGCCTGAAAAGCCCTCCACCAGCACTATGAAATTCTCCAAATCCCTGGGAGAAGTGGCCACATCCAGACTCTTGTTTGGAATTGTATATCCTTGGCTCTCTCCTAAACTGGAAACTTATGTTTTAACCTCAATTATTCCTATACAAATCTCCCTGAGGTAGTTCTCATTTTATTGTCCCTTGAAAGAAATCACCGAAGTACCTACCCAGGTTATAGCAGCCACCACAGAGGGTAAGAACTGAGCTGAAGTTATTTTAAAAGAATCCCAACTAGTATAAAGCTCATCCCATCCCATTTCCCATCTTACCTGGAGTGGCCAGGGAGAAGAGGAGGAAAAGAGCGAAGACAAGGTAGAGGAACTTCATGGCTGGAGTTGAGCTGGGATCTCAGCGAGGCTGGAGAGAGGAGAGCTGAAGACCTCAGAGGGAGGAGGTGATGTACTGGCAGGCAGGAGCTGCTGGGTTTTATAGAGAATTTCCCTGCGGAGCAGAGGATGCTGGGGACATGCAGGAATTCATCCAAGTCGTGCTGCTTGGGGCTGGGTGTGCAGTGATGGCACAAGAATTCCCCAATTGTGCTGGCAGGCACCTCCTGTCTGCCCCAGCTGCGGTTACCCAACATCAGATAGGATCCCAGCACAGATGGGAACACAAAGGAATAGGGGATGTCGATATCTGGGTCCTTGGGACGGGGCTGTGGGTCAGAGGGACCTGATGGAGACCTGCGGGTGCAGCGGGAGTGGAGAGCAAGATCAGTATCACAGAACTCCAGGCCTTTCCCAGCCTCTGGCAGGGATGCAGAGGGATGCAGCAGGGCCACCATGCACTGATAACTCTCCCTGCATTGTCCAGGCTGATCACCACGTGGGACTGATGGCCTGGAAAAGATCCCTGCTCCCACCTCTGACCCGTGTCTGTAAAATCTCCCTGATAAATTCAGTGAATGTTCAGGGAGGTGCCTTTGGCTGTCCTCTCTGATGGATGGATGGGTGGGACTTGTGGGGCTGGCAGCTCTAGGGAGCCCGGAGGAGACACTTTGATCATCACCTCATCCCCACAGACCCTCCAGACAGTCCTGGGCTTTCTAACAAGAGCCAAACTCCGCGAGGGAACTTTTCCAGCCCCAGCTCACTGGGCTGTTTAATCATCTGATAAACAGCCAGGAAGAGAAAGAGGCTGAAGGGGCAAGAAGCTGCTTCAGAATTACCCAACATCTTCAAACCTGAATCCTCAGCGTGCAGCAGATCAAATTTACAACACAACAAGGCAGCGAAATGACAAATGCTGAATCAGTGAGAATTTAGAAAAATCTATAACCTCTGTACAAATAGGGGGGGGTCTGAATTACCTAAAGCAGTTGGGAAGGAGGTTTGGGCATCCTGCATCATCCTGTGCAATGTGCACTGCTGATCTCCCTACACCTGATGGCCTTTGGTAGGAAAAGGAGAGGTTAAAGAAAGCTGGCAGAATTGGAGCCTTGTTTTCACAAAATTAAATATAGTGGAACTTGTCAGCTCAGGCTAGAAACAGTGAAGGTTTATCACAAGCTGCAAACATTTCCGAGGCCTAAGCAGGACAGAAGTATAGTTCTGCAATTTTCCTAACCCAACAAATATAGGTGGGATATGAAGGTAAATCATGTATTTATCATAAAAGTGAAAAAAAAAAAAAAGTCCTCTTTCACACTGAGGATAGCTGAAATGTGGAACTTGAACAAGAAATGCAAGAAGCTGAAGTGCACTGAAAGGACAAATGTATTGAAAAGGCAATTTATAAATTAATGTAGCAGGTAAAAAAAATAAAAATTAACTGCAAAATCTCCTTTGAGAATTTGCCAAAGTTCATGTCACTGACTTCTCATCCTGGCCACCAATACATCCCTTTTCCTGGAATTGAGGGCTGCCATGTTTTCCATGTATTCTCTTTCCTGATCATAACCACTCCACTTGATTTTTTTGGTTTTGGATTTTTTTTGGCTTTGTTTTGTTTTGGTTTTATTTTTGTTTTGTTTTGGTTTTGGTTTTTTTGGGGTTTTTTTTGTTTTGTTTTTTGGGGTTTTTTTTGTTGTTTGCTTGGGTTTTTTGGGTTTTTTTGGGGTTTTTTTTTGTGGCAGGACACATCTTAAACAAAAATCTCAGAATCATTTAGGTGGGAAAAGACCTCTGAGATCCAGTCCAACCATTCTCCAGCGCTGCCAAGGCCACCACTGGCCCATGTCCCCAGCTGCCACATCCACAAAGCTTTTAAATCCCTCCAAGGATGGGGACATCACCACAGCCCTGGGCAGCTGTGCCAGTGCCTGATCACTTTTTCAGTGAAGAAACTTTCCCTAATATCCCGTCTAAACCTCCCCTAGTGCAGCTTGAGGTTGTTCCTTCTCATCCTGTCCCTGTTTCCTGGGAGCAGAGCCTGATCCCCCCTGGCTGTCCCCTCCTGTCAGGGGTTGTGCAGAGCCACAAGGTCCCCCCTGAGCCTCATTTTCTCCAGGTTGAGCCCCTTTCCAGCTCCCTCAGCCCCTCCTGGTGCTCCAGCCCCTTCCCAGCTCCATTCCCTCCCCTGAACACACTCAATGTCCTTCTTGTGAGGGTCTTGGAGCTGCCCCCAGCACTGGAGGTGCCCCAGCAGTGCCAGCACAGGGGATGGGCACTACCCTGGTTCTTCTTGGTGACCTTGAGCCATTTTCTGAGCCCCCTGAGCCCCTTCCTTGCCTCCCTGGAGCACACATCAGGATGGATTGTGCCATGGGTACAGCCTGTGTTTTCCAGACTCAGCTTTTGTTTGCACTTGTAGGACAATGGGTGCTGCTTTCCCAACGCCCTGACTCGGCTCTTTGGTGCCTGCCTGTGATCTACTGCCACACAAATTATCCCTGCAGTGCTGCCCACAGCCAGAAACTCCTTGTTCTGTGTCCTCCAGATCATTATCCTTGTATAGACAAGGGAGCTTCCACTATTACTTAATGATGGTTTTGGCAGGAGGAGATCCACTGGTTTTCTAATCCTGTCCCCAAATGTTTTGCAGTTCTTTTCAACCTCTTATTTGTGAATTTTTGAAGCATTCTTTCCAGAAAATAATGGAAATTATTAGGCAGGATAGCACTGGAATCACAAGTGACTTCTGATCAGATCTGCGTGGCAATTCATTTCCTTAGCTTAATTTACATATTTGCCTGTATCGTTTTTAATCAGCATCATGGTCCTTTTGGAAAGATTTCAGAAAAAATGCCCCCAAAAAGCTTGGGCCAAATCAATGTGATGAAAATGAGGCCAAGTGCAGGGGTTGGGGCAGTCCTCAGGATCAATCCAGGCTGGGGATGAAGGGGTGGAGCAGCTCTGGGAGAAGGACTTGGGGATACTGGGGGGTGAGAGCTGGATATGACCCACCCCTGAACTCCCCATGCCCTGGGCATCCCCCAGCTGGAGCATCCAGACATGGAAACAGTGTGGGGAAGGGGCTGGAGCACCAGGAGGGGCTGAGGGAGCTGGAAAGGGGCTCAGCCTGGAGAAAAGGAGGCTCAGAGGGGACCTTGTGGCTCTGCACAACTCCCTGAAAGGAGGGGACAGCCAGGGGGGTCGGGCTCTGCTCCCAGGGATCAGGGACAGCATGAGAGGGAACAACCTCAAGCTGCACTAGGGGAGGTTTAAATGGGATATTAGGGAAGGTTTCTTCACTGAAAAAGTGATCAGGCCCTGGCACAGCTGCCCAGGGCTCTGGTGGTGTCCCCATCCCTGGAAGTGTCCCAAAGGGATGTGGATATGACATGTGGGGACGTGTGGTGAGCACAGTGGTGCCAGGTTCATGGCACTCAAGGATCTCAGAGGTATTTTCCCACCTTCATGATTCTTTGATTCAATAAGAAAGATGTGGAGCTGTTGGACTGAGTCTAGAGGGGATCCATGAAATTGGTCACATAACTGGAGCCCCTCTGCTCTGGAGCCAGGCTGGGAAAGCTGGGAGCGCTCACCTGGAGAAGAGAAGGATCCAGGGAGAGCTCAGAGCCCCTTCCAGTGCCTAAGGGGCTCCAGGAGAGATGGAGAGGGACTTGGGAAAAGGGATGGAGGGATAGGAGAAGGGACAATGTCTTAAAGTTGAAGGAGGGAATATTTGGATGAGATATTGGGAAGGAATTCCTGGCTGTGAGGGTGGTGAGGCCCTGGCACAGGGTGCCCAGAGAAGCTGTGGCTGCCCCTGGATCCCTGGAGGTGTCCAAGGCCAGGTTGGAGATGGGGCTTAGAGCAGCCTGGGATAGTGGAAGGTGTCCCTGCCCATGGCAGGGGGTGGGACTGGATGAGCTTTAAGGTCCCTTCCAATCCAAACTGTTCTGGGATTTTGTTCCATGACTCTTTAATCCTCAGTGCCAGAGCACTGGTCAGGGTTGGATGCTCCATAAAACCATTCCCCTTCATGGATCTGATACCCCACTGTGTCCATTGTGCCTGTGCCTTGCAGACAGCACCCAGAGCTTATCAGGAGCCATGCCAGGCTGAATTCCAGCTGCCCTGGGAGCAGCTGTGCTGTGGCAGCCCCACGGCCGTGCCCAGCAGCCGGATCTGGAGAGCGGGAACGGCCCCACGTGCCCATGGAGCACGGGCCTGGCTGCCAGGTGCCTTTGTGAGAGGGCCCAGCAGGGCAGGGTGACACTGCACAGCCTGGAGAGCAAACAACAGCCCTCTGCAGATGGCTTTGCCCAAGGTTCTCCTCTGGCCATGCTGCTGGTGGCCGGAGTCCCTCTATAAAACCTCTGCCCTCAGACGCCGCGCACACCTCGGATCCTGTGGGCCAAGATCCCCCCTGGCCTCCAGCCATGAGGGTGCTCTGCGTGGTCTTTGCTGTGCTCCTGCTTCTCTCCCTGGCCACCCCAGGTAAGACAGGAAGGTTGGAGGTGCAGAAATTGGGGTGACCTCTCTGCTCTGCAGCCTCTGTGCCTCGGGGGAGGCAGGGGGTTCATCTCTGGGGCGGTGGGGATTTACCCAGCCTGGCAGGTACAATGGGGTTGGGATGGGGCGAATGCCACCCTGCAAATCCCACCTCCCACCCTCAGGCACAGGGATCCAACATGAGTAGAGGGATGGTTTGTAAGCGCCCACTTGTCCTCCAGCTCAGCGGGGACATGAAGTGCATCCTGTCCTGGGTGGGCCTAACCCCAGAGCATCAGTGGTGTTACAGTGTGCTCAGGCCATGTTTCCCCATTCCCTGGACCCCTGTGACTCTGACCAGACAAACCTGGTCCCCTCCTTTCTGCCCTGATGGGGCTGGAGGAGAGCCAGAGAAGCCCTCCCTGTCCAGAGCCTAGATCCACCCCTGACCCTTCCTGTTCCCTCTCTTTTCCCCTGCTTTTCCCTCGGACCCTGAAATAAAAGGAGCTGGACAACTACATCAGGGTGAGAACCTCTTTTGGAAATCTTTGCCCATCTCCTGATGTTCCTCCCCTCAAGGTCTCGGATCTCTGGGCTAGCCTGATAATTTAGGGGCTGAGAGGGGAGAAACATCACAGTACCACCCTGGAACCAGCAAGGAGACAACTCCCGGGGCTCTGCCCTCCTACATATCCACAATTTTCTCCATAACCCCCCTGTGTCTCTTCCCTGCAGGGCACGGGCAGCCCAAGGGTTTTTGTGACGGGTACTGCGCCCACGCGTGCGACGAAACTGAGGAGTGGTCCTTCAACCCCTACTGCGAGGAGCTGCACTGCTGCATCCCCTCTCCCAAAAAGGGGAAATGACCCTGGAGGAGTCCAGCCCCGCAGCCGTGGAGCTCCCTGCGCTGTGTCCAGGGCGTGGCAGAGACGATGCTCAGTGCTTTGAAGTAAAGATGGGCAGATAAGATCATTTCTGTGTGCTGTGAGATTCATTCTCTCCCGGGAGGGGACAGCCAGGAGAGGCTGGCAGCCAGAGCTCCCTGGAGAGTGGTCATGACACACCCCTGGCACCCACAGCTGCTTCTGGCAGCCCCAAAAAAAACTGACACCAAAATGCCAGCCAGGGAAAGAAAAGGCTTTGGGGTTTTCAAAGCAGAGTGGTGGCAAAGACTGAGGGAGTGCTCATGGCTTAATCCAGTGCCTCCATCCTCCACAAGTTGAATCCCAGTTTATTTGCAGGGGGCACACTGCCCCATCAGTCCCATCCAGCCTCTGTCCCATGGAGAGGTGGGAATGGGAGACAAACAGCACCACCTTCCCCTTGCACCCCAAAATCCCATTCCTGGGGTACCCACAGGGCAACCACTGCAGCCACTGAGGCTTTGGGGTCCCGTGGTTGTCCTGCACACCCTCACCAAGAGCCTTCTCTGCAGTCTGTGACCTTGGGGATCAACGAGAACAGGAGAACAGCTGAGGATTTCCTCAGTGTCCCCTTCCCTGCCCCATCCCCTGTGGGATAACCCAATCACTCCAGGTGTTCTGCAAGGGGACATGGGCTGATCCAGTGTAGGGTGGCTCAGAACACCCCACAAACACTCCAGCAATACTGGAGTCTAGGATGTTTGTGTCCTAAAGTGCCACAGGGCAAAAATCAGCTCTGTTTCCCTGAAATCCTGCAGGGAATAAAGCAACTTTCCAGCCCTGGGGCCTTGCAAACACAGAAAAAGGTTTTGCATGGGTGTTTGTAGGACTGGAAGGTCATGCAAGAGAAAAGAGGGGTACAGACCTCTCCCTCTTGTGGGATTACTCCCAATTTCTGCAGGGGAAAGGGCTGTGTCTCCTCTTCTCAGCAGCATCCTTTGTGATCATCAGAGATCTTGGCACATGGAACCGAAGGTAAAAGTGATTTCTTCCTCAAAATCATTTATATATTTGTCCAAAACTCCCATTTCCCAGGACACATGGGGCCTGCTGGTGCATCTGAACATGCAATATGAGGTGCTCCAAGGGTTTTGTGACCATTTCTGCCCCTGGAAATTTTGGGGCAGACAGGTAGGAAAAAAAAAAAAGAATAACAGGAAAAAAAAAAAAAACAGGACCAAGCTTATTCTCCTTTATTTCATCTTTAGGACCAAATTTTCATCCTTAGGACAAACTGATAACCTGAAACAATTTATCAGCTGAAAGACTGGCCAGGGATACAAGAAACATGATAGGGCTGTGGGATTTCTTTGGATGTAGACAAGAGAACTGAGTCTCTTCACAGAGTGGTGAGATGCTGAGTGTGAGGGGGTTAAAATCCAGTTTACACAGGCTGAGGGCTGGCAGCAGGTAAAAATCCCTCTTGATACAGGATGGCCCATCAAGAGCCACAGATTTTGTCAAGATTCACCTGAGCCCAGACAAGAGGGCACAAAAGATGGAAAATTCACCTACACCAGCCCTGAGCTGGTGACTGACACTTCACAGACACACAAGGCTGAAAGTTTGATTAAAGGATAAAAATTCCAGAAGGAAATATTAAAAAAATTAAAACCCCTTTGCTGTTTTGTTGGGTTTTTTTGTTTTGTTTTTGTTTTGTTTTGATTGTTTGTTTGTTTTGGTTTTTTGGGGTTTTTTTTGGTTTTTGTTTTGTTTTGGTTTTGTTTTTTTTTTTCCCTTTTTATTGTGAGAGGAGAGTGAAAAGAAAAACCACATGAAAGGGAATGAACTCCAAAATGGGGTTTGGAGCAGTCTGGGATAGTGGAAGTTGTCCCTTCCCATGGCATGGGTGGGATGAGACAACCTAAAAATGTCACTTACAGCCCAAATTATTCTATGATTCCCTGATATTATAAATTCCCACTATGCCAAGAAGCAGATTCATATCCTGGAAAGAACCTTTTATAGGAGAAATTCGTTGAATATCTCTTTGTTATACTGATGAATTACTGGATTACAGGGGTTTCTCTTATTTATAGGGAGAAAACATCAGTTACTGGGCTTGTCCCCTGGGAGAGCCCCTGCAACTCAGATCCCACAGAACTTCCACTCCACAGCTTTCCAGGGCAGCAGGGGATGGAAAGGCCACTGCTTCTGCACTCAATTTCAATAAGGAAGTGATATAAAAATGGGGGAATTATCAAAAAGGAGACAAAGGCTGCAGTTAAAAGAGTTAAATGCTTGCAAATAGATTCTTTGCAAGCACCTGGGGAGGTGTTTAAGGCCACTAAGAAGGAGACTCAGGGAAAACTGATGGCAGGTATTAAAAAAAAAAAAAATAAAAGGCCTGAGAAAGAGCAAAAAGGAAAAGGTCACAGCAGAACAGTGGGATGAGGGAGATTGTTAGAAAGGAAAAGCTGAAATTGTGGCCAAACATGGAAAATAAAAAAGATAATACACTGGGCCTGACAAAGTATTAAACACAATAAGGTAGCTCAGCAGAGAATTGCAGGAAGAGCTTGAAAAATGTGAGGAAACATCTTCAAATCAATCTTTTTTTTCTTTTTCCAAACACATTGTGAACGTGAAGCCTGACAAAGAGCATGGTCAGGGAAATAAAGTTAATTAAAGCTCAGGCCACTCCACAGGAGCTGAATTAAATATTTGCATTGGTTCTCACCTGGCCAGAAAGAAGAGAGGCCTTGATGCTGAACCCTCCTTTGTGGGGACTCATCAAAGGGCTTGTCTTAAATGGAAAAGCAGTGGAAGAGGAGAAAAAACAGCAACAAATCACCAGAACCATGATCTTTTCTCGCTGTCAAGGCTTTCCCCTCAAAAAAAAAAAAAAAAAAAAAAAAATCTGAAGGGAATTCAAGGATGAAACAGCCACTTCTGACTCAGTGTGTGATCTCTGCAGCCTGGAGAAGAGAAGGATCCAGGGAGAGCTCAGAGCCCCTTCCAGGGCCTAAAGGAGCTCCAGGAGAGCTGGAGAGGGACTTGGGACAAGGGATGGAGGGACAGGACACAGGGAATGGCTGCACACTGCCAGAGGGCAGGAATGGATGGGATATTGGGAAGAAATTCTTGGCTGTGAGGGTGGGGAGGCCCTGACACAGGTTGCCCAGAGAAGCTGTGGCTGCCCCTGGATACCTGGAAATGTCCAAGGCCAGGTTGGACAGGGCTTGGATCAACCTGGGATAGTGGGAGTTGTCCCTGCCCATAGCAGGGGTTGGAATGGGATGGGCTTTAAGGTCCCTTTCCACCCAAACCATTCCATGATTCCGTGATCTGTTGCTCAAGAAGGTTTTGCTGTGCAAAGATAGGAGATGGTAGTTTGATAAGGAAAGACATCTTTAAGTGTCCTTTGGGATTGCAAAGCAGGATTTTACCAGTTTTAAATACAATAACGAGGAGGAAAACGGGAAATCAGGAAAATCCTGTCCTAAAACCAAAAGACAGGGCCCAGCACTTTGGGGCTGAGGTGCAGGAGAGGGGGTAAAGAGGAGTGTTGTGGTGGGGCCACAGCAGGAAATTTGGTCATAAAAAAATCTGGAAAATGGATGGGAGGGAATGGAAAGTGCATTGTTAAGGGTAATAAAGGTTATGGCTGAAGAAGGACCTGGCTTGGGTTTGGGGGTGTGACTCCTTCCCTGGCTGGTGAAATCCAGGTGGATGTTGTGAGGAAAAAATCCGAGTCATTTTGTATGTGGAGTGAATGGTTCCATGTGGGTCATTTGATTGTAGAGACTGGGAGTGCAGGAACAAGAGAGAACATGGAGCATCAGCAGCGTCACACTGAGTTGTTTGCTAAACCTTGGGAATTCCAGCCAGACATTTTGGGACTTTTTTTTTTTTTTTTTTTTTTAATTTTCCCATGTGTTTGCTGTTCCCATGGCAGTAAATATCCCCGTGAAAGGAGAAGGAAGAGCTGGAGGCAACTTGTGACCACTCAGGGAGTGAAACCTGGGATCTGCTGAGCTGAGCCTTCAGCCTCTCACTGAGCAAGGATCAGATGGAAAAAGCCCTGCTGGGCTTTTTCTTTTTTTTTTTTTTTTTTCTGTATACACAAACTGCACTCATCATGAAGGTCCCAACGCTTAAAAAGAGGCAGTGCAGGCTCTGCCCTGCTCCCTGTGTGTGGGTGGCAGTGACAGGGAAGCAGATGGGCACATTAAGAGGAATCACTGGGCCAGACATTCCCATTCCTCTCCCTCCCGGGGCAGATGCACTGACTGTCACCACAAGGAAAGACACATCTTTAAAATGTATAGCACCAGGCAATATGGGAACTCCAGGTCTGTGGGGAAAGCAGGGTTTTGTTTTGTTTTGTTTTTTCTGCTCTGAGTGGCTTTTTCTCAAAAAGTGCTTCTGTTGATGTCTTATTTCACTGAAAATAAGATATAGAGAAAAACAGAGGGAAAAAAACCCCAATCTTACAACCAGGGTCCAATCAATTTTCATGAAATCCTGGAATGGTTTGGGTTGGAAGGACCTTAAAGCTCATTCCATTCCCACCCTTGCCATGGGCAAGGACACCTTCCACTATCCCAGGTTGCTCCAAGCCCTGTCCAGCCCGGCCTTGGACACTTCCAGGGATCCAGGGACAGCCACAGCTTCTCTGGGCACCCTGTGCCATTGCCTGCAGCTTCTAGAAGCAAGACTCAGAAAAACACCCTTTCTTTTGGAGCTGCAATTTATGAGGCTGCTTTAATTGATATTCATCACATCTCAGGCACCTGGTGGGATTTTTGGGGGTGTCCTGTGCAGGGCCAGGAGCTGTACTGGGTAATACTGTGGGTCCCTTCCAGCTCAGCATAGCCTGTGATTTTATGAACATTTCTAAAGTTACTCTGTTTACGTCAGATAGGAAAGACAAAGAAGTTTTGGGTTTGGGTTTTTTTTTTTTTTTTTTTCCAGATACGTGTCCTTTCCAGATTTAGAACACTGTGAAAGCTTGACATAAGAGAAGTGAGTAAATAACTGCTTTAAAGTGATGAAGTTTTAGCTGAAACCCCACAGCAATTCAGGGTCACTTTATAATTCTACTC